ACTGGAGTTGTGCAGTGCCTAGGTTACGCGGAATGCCTCCCTTTTTGCTATACGGGGACGCTTTCCTACAAAGGCAATGAGATAGGAACTTCTCTTCCCATAGCTCTTCAGTGAGTTCCCAGTGGCACTGGGTAACTGAAATAGAAGACTTCCTCTAATAGGAACACAGCTTGTTGAGTGGAAAAGATACATTTATGGTAACGCTAAGCACAGCTGGATGACGACATATGTGCCTCCAAATACCACTGACAGGAAAATGACTGCATCAGCTTGAAATGCAAGAAAATTATCCACAGTGATTTACCAAACCGACATCACTCCAGAAGATATTATTTTTTGTTTTTTTATATTTATTTTTTGCAAAATCATCTTCTAAATATAAGGTTATCCTAAAATAATTCTTTGGTTAAAGTATACTTCAAATAAAAAGTAGAAACTCCTCCAAGCCTTCCACTACAGGGTGAAAAATACCCCCTTCTTTTAGGCATCAGATGGCCATTTAATCAGCCATTCAGATTCTATGAATCTAAATGCAATGGAAAACACTGTATTCTCCCTCCACACTGGGGTAAAGCTCCTAGCTACCGATGCAGCAATGGAGAAGAGGGCCTGGGAAAGTAAGACTCCCAGCTTGTGCATTAAAATGTGCCAATTATTCTAGTCCACAAGGAATAGATGTGGCATGTTAAAATCACCGACACCTAAGTCCCAGCTATGAATAATCCTGGGGCATTGGCAGATAGATGTGGCCTACTAGTGCAAGCAGCACACTGCTTAAGAGTTTCAGTCCTGGATTAAATCCTTTAGTTAATTTCACCTCTGTTTATTTCAGGTAACGTTCTAAGTTAAAAAAAATTCCTCTCTACCAGAAACATTTGGTTCTTCTTATCTTGCATGTTCTTCCTTCCTTCCTTCTCTCTCCTCCCCTCCAGCTTGTTTTGTTCTTATTAAACATCAGCCTCAGATCAAAAAGTACCATGCTGAACTTCAGGTTGTGATACCAACCTAGAATTTTTGGATGAAAATGAAATAATGGAATATACCTGTGCATTCCTTTTAGGACACATAGATTCAACATGGTTTTCGGAGAATTTCTCAGTGGGAAGTCCAAGTTCAGTTTTTAAAGTAGGTATACGTGAAAAGAGAATTTAATATGAATTCCAGCCGTTCAGACCATTTTGATAAACAATCTGGATGATTAAAGCAGAGGAATAAATTCTTTAATTCAGGGTTTTCCACCTAAATTCTTCAGAAAATTATTTCAGATCTGTGCCTCCTGCTCATGTAGATGACAGTCCTAAGGCTCTGTGCCTATTGTGCTAAGGACAATGGATTGTTGCCCAGCTAACCTGGCCTATCAGGTCATCTACGACCAAGACAGCCAAGGAAGGAGGGCATGACCTATTCTAAACTTTGTTCTGTTCAAGTCCAGACCCTGCCCAGAACACACCGCTACAGTTTTCAAGGAAATCGGATGCAAAGTGCTCGAGCATTATTCTGGGCATTGGAAGTCCATGGAAATTTGTGGAGAATCGAATAAACATTACAGATCTGATTGAACAGTGGATTCATTTCATTACAGATAAAAGAATGAACAGCAGTGACATTTCATCAGCTGTAACCTGATTTTTTTCTTAAAACCTTTTAATGGGAGTATTTTCCCCATTATAAGGTTAAAACTTTTCTATGACTCGATGGTTATCAGCAGAGAGTACTTCTATACCCAGGAGCGGGATCAGTGTTTGTGCAGTGCTAGAAGAAATCAAGGCGGTTTCTTAAAATGTAAAATTCATGACATATTTGTCTAAGTGACTTAAAAAAACAAAAACAGAGTCCAACTGTAATCCTCTTGAACATGAACATACATAGCCAGCATCCTTTTACTTCTTTTTAGGAATCCTCAAATTCCAGTTTCAAATAGGAGCATAGATCTATTTTTACATACTGGGTTTTACGTATATTTGGGTTTTGAAGCTTATTCAGTGCTACGACGTCTATAGATTTGTTTTACACTAATGTTTCCTTTACATGTCTGGGAATTTGCACACACATTCTATCTAGGGAACTACACTGCACCAGACCGTTGTCTGTTGCCAACAGTCAGCTAGTCACACAATTAAATACACACTGATAACTGATGTTTTGGTTTGATTGTCATTTATTTCTCTTCTAAATATACTACCTCTGAATTCGGGAAGCAAGGTGTGATGAAAAACCACAGGATGTGGCTCTCCCACCTTTTCTTAAGTAGCCCTACCTACGTATTTTAAGTTATAGAAAAGCAAACAAATAAAAACGACAGCACAAACAGCAACCATGACTGTCATCCTTTAAATTAGTTCCCTGACTTCAGTACACATCCCTGGTATAACTGATACACTGGTGGGTGATCTGCTATGATTGACAGGTACTCTAAGTGTACAGTAACCTGACCCTTGGAATGGTTTGTAAAGATGTCCGTATTGCACAAGAATGAGCTTCTTGCTGACTCAGATAATGTATTGAACCTACATGCTTTCAAATCACTGACATCCTTAACCAGTTACCACAGTCTAGACTCTACGGGCAAAGACGAGTGAATCGTGGCCATTTGGAAGTGCTGTAACACGGAAAATTCCACGTCCCTTTATACTTTGCAAGTTCATGGCTCCTGCAACTGAATACTTCACACATTTTTCTTCCTCCTGAGTATCCAAAAGTGCTTTGTCTCCCCATTTCACAGACAGAAGCAAGGGGGAAGGGCTGTAGCAAAAAGCTGTAGCCGGATGTTCTAGAGAAAACATGGCTGTACCAGGGTGGATGGGAATCCTCAAGCAGGCGTCTTGAGCCAGCAGCACTGGTGGGCAGGTCATGGTGAGGGTAGACTTTGATGGGGAATCTAAGAACTCTCGGTGGGGGCATGTTTTCTAAGAACGGTTAAAGAATTCCTTGGCTTGGCTTTGCCTAACTGGAACACGGAGTTAAAAAGAAAATCTTGTCACCAAAATGGCAGCTGAGTGTCCCTCTAGCTGGATTCTGGACTCACTCCCTGTCTCCCTATCTTTCCTTAGTGCGAGCTGATTCCTCCCTTTGGGAGTGCTCTGACTCCTTAGCCATGCACAGAAGGAAGGAAGAACATCCTTTGCCGTAGCAGCTGCCTCATTCGTGAAGACGATTCTTGAAAGCCTTGTTAGCTAGGTAAGCATCCAGAGAGAATGAATTTTATCCCTGAATCAAGTCTTTTTCTCATTCACACAGTCTCATCATGAGAGCTTTAAAGCGTGAAAGGAAATATGCTAAATTATTCTGAGCTGTCCACTTAGACGGTGGTGCAGACTTATCCACTGTTATTAAACACACAGAAATATCCTTCTCACAAAGGCTTTCCAAAGCCTTTCCGTCTCATTCACGGGTGTGGCTTATTCCTGGAGCAAGGTCTCTCTCCAGTTGAAGCCCCCCGTTGGTCCATGGGTAAGAGGAAGGATAGGTGGGTCCGTCAGCTGCCAAATTCCAGTTTCTCCTAGTTCTTCACAGGAACAAAACCCCAGGTATGGGATCTGAGGTCAGAGTAGTAGAGACAGGGAAAATAGAAAACAGAGGTTTAATGCTTTAACTTTTACCTAGACACAAAAATCTTCAGGTGGCCCATGAGAACAAAGAATTTTCATAGGCATTACTAGGGGCTCTGTAGACCTGCATCTCTTCTAAAAGTCAATCAAGAAAAATGAAATGGATAGGGGCGCCTGGGTGGCTTAGTTGGTTAAGCGTCTGACTTTCGCTTAGGTCATGATCTCACCGTTCGTGGGTTCGAGCCCCGCGTCAGGCTCTGTGCTGACTGCCAGCTCAGAGCCTGGAGCCTATTTCAGAGTCAGTATCTCCCTCTCTCTCTGACCCTCCCCTGCTCACACTGTCTCTCTTTCTCTCTCTCTCTCCTAGAAATAAATAAAAATATAAAGAAAAAAAAGAAATGGACAAAACGGACAAATTAGAGGGAAGAGTATTTACACTGCAAGGGGATTCATCAGAAAATTTCATTAAATGGTGAGCTCCCCTAGTGTGATTAAGTAATTGTTTATAGATTGTTTCTTAATTGTGTGGGAGGAAAGCGGACAATAACACAGAAAGCTGAGGTGCTCAGAGTGGATTCCTAATTGCAAATCAAGCTAAAAATGCAGCTTGGACATTTCAGACATAATATTTGGGCAATGAGAGAGATGACACTATTTTTAAAAATATTTCACCCAGTTTCGTCTTTTTTTTTTCTTCTTGGCATGGGCACCTATAACATTCATAGCGGGAGCTGTGCCCTTCCTAAATTTGAAACGTATTTCTGTGAGTGTGACCAGATCTGAAGTTAAACACAATGGCAAAAATCTCTGCCCTCAAGCAGCTTAAGGGGTCACAGGGAGACACAGATGCATAAAGAAGCTTTTAAACACCGAAAAGAATTGCAGTTGAGTTTGAATCAGGTTCTCTGGGGGCAGATAAGTCAGCCTGGAGGGAAGTGTGTGGGAGGGTGGCTGACGGGAAGGCATGAGAAGGAAGAAGCCAGATGTGTTGGTCAATCTCCTGGGTTTTGTCTCATGACCTTGTTCTTGGTTTGCCCGGCAGCCCAATCGTTTTAAATCCCTGCTTCCTCTGGCCTACCTGTTAGGCCCTCACTTCCAGCTGAGCCTTCAGATGCTCTGTGTTGGCCCACACACCCTTCTGCATCCAATCCATGACCCCCCAGGGAAATCCAGACAGTCTGCTTATAATTCTTAGCTCCTTTCTAAATGTGCACTCTTAGCAACTAAAACTAGCTCAAACACATCTTTTTCTCTTCCACAAGGCCTCCAAAAGTGCCTTACACAGAGCACCACTCAGTCCATTTTGGTGGAGTGAATCAATACGTGCATATTCCTGGCTCAGAGTAAATATGCACTTCAAAGAACTTAGCTACTGGGCAGTCAGGACCAGTCATTGAACTGTGCTGAAACTACTTTGGCACCACAGGCCTCTGAAATGTAAGTGAGAATTACCTTTCGGACCATTTGTACAAAGTCCTTGGAGTTCTGAGGCGACAGACCCTGAAGCTGGCAGGTACAGGCTTCAAGGGAAGATGCATGAGCCACAATCAGGATGTTATTTCCTGGGGGAGGGAAAAAAAAAAAAGCAGACTTGGAAGACATTTCTGTAAAGACCTATGTTAACTCTGTAAATACTGGAAGACAGATGTTCCAGGGAGGGACAAACATTCTCAAGAATGAGACAATTTGGGGACACCTGGGTGGCTCACTCAGTTGAGTGCCTGACTTCGGCTCAGGTCATGATCTCGCGGTGTGTGGACTGAAGCCAGCGTTGGGCTCTGTGCTGACAGCTCAGAGCCTGGAGCCTGCTTCAGATCTTGTGTCTCCCTCTCTCTCTCTGCCCCTCCCCTGCTTGTGCTCGGTCTCTGTCTCTGTCTCTCTCTCAAAAATAAACATTGAAAGAAATTTAAAAAAAGAATGAGACAATTTGGCTAAGTGATATTTTGAAATGCTTTGTACTGTTAAGGCACCTAACATCTTTACAAAAAAAACCCTCTTAATCTTAAAATAATTATAGATGCACAGGTTATAATTATGTATATATACAATATATGAATACTTAAATTATATAATGTATATATAATTATATATTATGTGTATGACCTCTGTATTGTGTAACATGTATATACACCAACATATACACATATTGTGTGAGTGTGTGTGTGTGTACAGTATATACACTATATACCAAACTATATGTGTACTGTATACTATAGACATACATATGCACAGCAGGGAGGTCCTGTATTCCAGTCATTCAGCCTCCTTCAGTGGTAACATCTTGCCTAGCTATGGTACCCTAGCACAATCAGGAAGTGGATGCTGATATAATCTACTTGGTTTCTTTCGATTCCACCAGGTTTATCCAACTAGATCTCCTGTGTTAACTCTTCATAAACACCACAATCAAGATACAAATTATTCTATGTCTGTAGGGCTCATAACAATTCTCAATGTTACCTCTGTAGAACTGGGTGAGCACTTCCTGGTTGATAGAATATGCTGATGAGTATCTTTACAGTAGGTGCGTAGGAGTTGTAATGAAGTGAGTGGTTTATCAATTTTTTCAAGTGTTTATTTTTTAGAGACAGAGACAGAGACAGAATGTGAGCTGGAGAGGGAGGGAGAGAGAGAGAGAGAGAGAGAGAGAAAGAGAGAATCCAAAGCAGGCTCCAGGTTCTGAGCTGTCAGTCAGCACAGAGCCCGATGCGGGGCTCGAACTCAAACCGCGAGATTGTAATCTGAGCTGAAGTCAGAAGCTTAACTGACTGAGCCACCCGGGCACCCCAGCTTATCAATGTGACCTGAAAGGTGGGAGTTACCTACACTACTATTGCCCAGGCTATCCACTGTTCACATTTTGGTGTCTATAATTCCAATCTTTGCTCTATGAAGATAAATAACTTAAAAAGAAATGGTAATGTGCATATACTTTTGTAATCCCTTTTTATCTAAAAATTTATAGTGAATTGTCTTATGTATCATTTAATATTTGAGTTCAGTGTTTATAAAATTCAATAGCAAACCGACCAGTGTTCTAGAGTCTTCTAGGACACTGCTCTTGGTCAGTGCTAGCAGTGACTGTGTGTTGGTGAAGGTGTGTTTGTGTGTGGGGGTGCCCATGCTCCTGGATCAAATCATAGGCAATGCTAAAGAACTTCTGGAAATTGTAACAAGGAACTTTTTTCAGAGTGCAAGATACATAGCTGTAATGCAGAATTCTAAATTATTTCATATAGTGACTAAGTCTGGTGTATTCCCATGGAATGTCTACCATTTTAGGTACTCAAGAGAGGATATTACAAATTGAACATGAAAGCATCTAGAAGACAGTCTGGAAATATTTTTCTTTCTTATTAAGCCAGTTGAAATATCTTGAATAGCTTATTAACCAGGATGGAGAAATGATCACATATTTAACGTTTGTTTATTTTGAGAGAGTGAAAGTGGGGAAGGGGTCCAGAGTGGGGTGGGGTGGGGGGGAGAGAGAGACAGTGAGAGAGAATGGGAAACAGAGAGAATCACAGGCAGGGTCTGAGCTGTCAGCACAGAGCCCAACCTCACAAAACTGTGAGATCATGACCTGAGCCGAAATCAAGAGTTGGACGCTTAACCAACTGGGCCACGCAGGTGCCCCAAAATGATCACATATTTAAATATGGAGTCCAAAATAATACCACCTACCTTTACTTTTACATTCACTTATAATTTCTTTTGTTACTTGGAAACTTCTACTAATATAAGTGTCATAGGATTCTGAAACCACTAATTTGCCGACTGGAATGTGAGGTCTGTAATAAAAAAATGAACAAAGGCAATGAAAACATTTTGATCCCAAGGTAAAGCAACTGATATTATTCTCAACTTTTATTTCAAGACTTTTGTAGAGTTCTCATATTTCTGTTTATCCATTTCCCTAGAAGGGATGGAGAGTATAGGGAAGAGTATTTCCATTAGATGGAATTGGGGTCCAAACGTACATGATGTATGGAAATCAAGGCTGTGCACGCATGGTGTTAGGCTGACAGGCTGAAAAATGAAACATTTTTCATTTACAGATGGCATTTGGAGGATAACTCATAAGCAGTTTGACTAATCTTACTGACCATCAGTGGTAGGTCACACTAACAGGAAGCAAAGCAGAGCTTAGCTCTCTTTCTTTCTTTATATATTTATTCATTTATTTTTAAACATGTTAATTGTTCTTTTATTTTAAAGTTTTATTTATTTTTTGAGAGAGAATGAGAATGAGCAGGGGAGGGGCAGAGAGACGAGAGAGAGAGAATCCCAAGCAGGTTCTTCACTGTTAGTGCAGAGCTCCATGCGAGGCTCAAACTCACCATCCATAAGATCATGTCCGAAACCAAAAGTCGGACACTTAACCGACTGAGCCACCCAGGCACCCCTTCTCTTTCTCGATTTAGATCACCGGAAATTTCCTAAGCCTTTCTTCTGTAGCCTTATACACAGTAAGATGTAAGGATAGGTTTTATTTATTTTTAAATTGTTTCCAGCTTTATTGGGATATAATTCACACTTAACGTCATGAACGTTTAAGGTATAAAAGTGTTGATCTGATATACACATATTATGAGACGATTTCCACCATAGTGTTAGCTAACACCTCCATTACGTCATATACTCAGTTTCCTTTTTGTGGTGAGAACATTTATGATTGACCGTCTTGGCAACTTTCGATTATATGATACACTATTATTAACTGTAGTCACCACACTGTGCCTTAGATCACCAGAACTTATCAACTAGAAGTTTGTACACTTTGACTGACATCTCCCCATCCCTGCCCCGGCTCCAGTTGGTGGAAACCACCGTTCTACTGTCTGTTTCTCAGAGTTTGGCATTTTAGATTCCGCAAACAAGTGATATGATATCATGTGCAGATATCTCCTTGAGATCCTGTATGCATTTACTTGGAGCATATACCCAGAAGTGGGATTGCTGGATCCTATGTTCACTCTATTTTTAATTTTTGAGGAACCTCCATATTGTTTTCCACAGTGGCTGTGCCAGTCTACACTCTCACCAACACTCGATAGCTCTTGTCTTTTTGATGACAGCCATTCTGACAGGTGTGAGGTGGTGTCTCATTGTGGTTTTAAATTGCATTTCCCTGATGACTAGTGATATTGAGCATCTTTTCATGTACTTGTTAGCCATTTGTATGTCAGTTTTGGAAAAATATCAAAGTTTTTCTGCCCATTTTTAAATCTTTTTTTTTTTTTGGGTAAGAGTTCTTCATATGTTTTAGACATTAATCCCTTATCAGATATAGGGTTTGCAAATGTGTTCTCCTATTTTGTAGGTTACTTTTTCATTAAAAAAATTTTTTTAATGTTTATTTTTGAGAGAGAGAAAGAGAGCATGAGTGGGGAAAGGGCAGAGAGAGAGGGAAACATAGAATTCAAAGCAGGGTCCAGGCTCTGTGCTGACAGCACAGAGCCCAACGTGGGACTTGAACTCATGAACCGCAAGATCATGATCTGAGCTGAAGTCAGACACTTAACCAACTGAGCCACCCAGCCGCCCGTCTTTTTTTTTTTTTATTCTGCTTTGCAGAAGCTTTTTAGTTTGATATAATCTTATTATGAATTTTGGCTATTGTCACTTGTGCTTTTGGTGTCCCATCCAAAAAATTGTTGCCAAGGTCAATGTCAAGGAGCTTTTTCCCTATGTCTTCTTCTGGGGGTTTTATGGTTTCAGCTCTTACGTTTTAAGTCTTTAATCCATTTTGAGTTAATTTTTGTGACTGGTGTATCTGCATGCTGCTATACAATTTTCCCAATACCATTTATTGAAGAGACTATCTTTTCCTCGCTGAGTATTCTTGGCTCCTTTATCAAATGTTACTCGAATATGTATTGGAGGGTTTATTTCTGGGCTCTCAATTCTGTTCCATTGGTCTGTGTCTATCTTCATGCCAGCACCATACTGTTTTGATTACTGTAGCTTTGTAGTATAGTTTGAAATCAGGAAGTGTGAGGCCTCCAGCTTCGTTGTTCTTTGTTGGGTTTACTTTGGCTAGTTAGTTATGATCTTTTGTGGTTCCATACAAATTTTAGGAATGCTTTTTTTAGTTTCTGTGGAAAACACCATATGGATTTTGATAGGGATTGCATTTAATCTATAGATGGCTTTGGGTAGAATGGACATTTTGATATTAAAATTCTTCTGATCCATGAATATGGGATATCTTTCTATTTGTTTGTGTCCTCAATTTCTTCCATAAGTCTTGCAGATTTCAGTATACAGTATACCTCTTTCAATGAATTTATTCCTAAGTATTTTATTGTTTTCGATGCTAGTGGGAATGGGATTGTTTATTTTTCCTTTAGATGTGTTGTTGTTAGTGCATAGAAACACAAATGATTTCTATATGTTGATTTTACTTTACTGAGTTTGTTGATGAGTTCTGACAATCATATGGTAGTCTTTAGGATTTTCTGTATATAATATAACATGATCTGCAAACAAAGACATTTTTAC